ACTCACAGCACTCAAGGACAAACAGATAACAGTCACAGCTGACAGGTATAGTGCGTGGACCCGCTAGAAGCCCACACTTTTCTCGGGCCATTATCTCCATAACCGTTTAACTTTGGACATAGGTGTTTTGTGTTAACATAAGGAACACCCTCCCGAAGTTTGGTCCATTCCTCCTGGGACACCCTATATTTAACTCTCTGCTCTAAATTTGAGTTAAGGAAAGTGTGTATTTATTCATTATTTTAGTTTCATGGTAGCATATAATTTTGCATTGCTGAAAGGCAACAAGAGAGGCAGGTGGATTGCTTTTCATTGATATCAAGTGATGGACTTTGTTAGAAGTAGCAGCCTACATATGTAGTTCAGAGAGAGAGATGTTGCTTGTAGCTTGTAATATGTTAAAGCTTCGGTTCAGATATGTTATGCTCTGGTGTTAAGTACAACAAAACATTCAGTTTTTTGGTTCATTGATACCCATAACTATGCCATCTTGTACCATAAATTGCTGTAGTTGAGAAGCCATAATTACTGGTAGTGTATCTATTTTTTTGGAAACAGTTTCTGAAATTTTTGTAGTCATGTGATTTATTTGATTTTTATGTTGTCTTCCAGTGCTACCACATCCATCAACTCACTAGCAACAGATTCTGGACCAACGATGGGACAGGCTCCAGATTCACTAGATACAAAAATTGAGTGTTTGCTGCGGGACTGGCATCACAGCCCTGACCTACTGTTTTCGGTTCATCCCATAGATGGCAGTTTCTTGATTTGGTATGTCACCTGTATGTAACAAGTAAAAGAGTGTGCTCAGAATTGGAATACATACATTTTCCAAACATGTTTTTTTGCAGTTTTGCATTTTTTATTGAAGTTTGTTGCTGACACAAATCTTCTAATGGCCAATTAAAATGTCTTTCTTTTTGTATAATTACATGTATATTCTTATTAATATAATTTCTTTATTGGATATAGCTCTGAACTATTTTACTTTGGCTGTCTTGTATATATAGATGAAGTGACAGGAGGTTGGAGAAAACTGCAAAATGGGGAGCTTCATAACCTGTACTCTTCTCCAAGTATAATTAGAATGATCAAGTCAAGGAGGATGAGGTGGGCAGGGTATGTAGCATGAATGGGGGAGACGAGGAATGTGTATAGGATATTGGTGGGAAAGTCAGAAGGAAAGAGACCACTGGGAAGACCAAGGCATAGGTGGATGGACAATATTAAAATGGATCTTAGAGAGATAGAATGGGATGGTATTGATAGGGATAGGGCTCGGGATAGGGACCAGTGGAGGGCTCTTGTGAACATGGGTAATTAACCTTCGGGTTCCATAAAATGCGGGAAATTCTCGAGTAGCTGCAGAATTGGCAGCTCCTCCAGAGGGGCTCAGCTCCATGAGTAAGTAAGTCAGTCTTCTATATATACCATTTGGATGTCATTCATGTGTCATAACATTTAAAGTGAATATTATGTATGTTGTCACATCTCGATATAATCTTTTATTTCCATATCAAAATTATGTATTTTCTCCAACAGAACTAAAACCAAATGAATGCCAGTAATCTGTTCAGTTTGGTTGCAAATAAAAATATGTTGTAGCACTTCATAGTCAGAAATTATTTTTCCTTGTGCTTTGTTTTTTTCTTTTGCTGCATTGAAAAATACTTCAAATAAAAAAGTTGCAGAGTGAAGTTAGATCTGTATTTTATGTTATATATGGATCTTATGTGTGATGCACTGTTTTCAAAAAAAGCTTTTAAAAACAGATTCTCATTCACTCACTTCTTGTCCCTGTTGTATACGTTATGCAATGTGTTCTCAATAGTTTCTTTGTATTTTCTTAGATATTATAACAAATTTGGTCATCTGCTTGTGATTATTTAATTTGTGTCTTATGTGTCACCACTTTGAGTGTATTTGCAGTCCTGTAATGCATCTGTAAGTGTGCTCACTTTGTCCATCTGTCTCTAGATATGGAACAGCTTGAGAATGCCTGCAGCAGAAGTTATAGAGAAAAATGAAACATTTTATGCTTGCAGCCTTTCAGTTTTCAAGATAGTTTAATCAGACATGGTGTACATTTTCAAGTGTCTTGGATTATTCATGTTTCTGATATTTGTGCGTCTCTCCCCAGTCTTTAGTGTCAATAATCGGAGTATACTGTGGCATATTTGCTGAAAGCAAGAACTGTGGAGGCAGAGGAAAAGTGTAACAGGAACTGTAGAGTGTGGAAGTAGCAGTAGCGCTGTAATTGTCAGTAATTCCAAGTGGTGTATATGAAGTGTCAATAAATCCAGTCATCCAATCCAAAACCAGTATAATAGTCGGAACCCCCTACACGTTACATTTTGGTGTCAGAAGTGTTCGGATTGGAAACGGCATGATCATATTGCTACACTACAGATATGGAACAAATACTAGCACAACTGCTGGCCAAAATGAATGGCATGCAAGAATGGATGGACTCCCATCACAAAAGTATGTTAGCCAAGATGGATGCCTTTCAAGAAAAGATGAATGAAGGGCAAGAGGAGATAAAAGCCCAGGTGGGTTCCCATGTCTCCTAGGTCAATATCAACCAAGAAGAGTTGAAGGCTTTGTTGGATGCCTGTCTAGAAAATTTGGAGGCAAATGCAGGATAACTGCAGTCTGAGTCAGAGCATTCAGAAGTCCCAAAGGAAGAGGCCTCAGTGGTAACTTTCAGACCACTGAGGAAGCGGCAGAGGGACCGGAATCTAGCTGTAGGGTGCCATCAAAAGCGATAAAAAGGACCCCGGGGCAATGGTGGGCCCTAGAAGAAATTGGCAGCCACCCACCATGCAAGAGTGGCACTGCACAAGGGACACGGTCGTTAGGGACAAGGCAGGAACAAGACTGTACCAAGAACCCATGCAGGACCAACATTTGGGAAGAGACGTTGGGCTAAACTGGAAGGCCTCAGTGGAACAAGGAACCAAGGCTTAAAGAAGCAACTGTATCTGAGTAGCAAGAGGACATCGGGCAAAACCTTTGGGAAAACCATTGGGCTTGAGATTGTAAAGCAAATAGTTGGAATTTCCAGTAGGTTGTGAAAGATGAGTGACAAGATATTGTGGAGGGGTCAGCGTGCTCTGAAAGGAAAGAGGAGACTGCACACAGAGTAGGAGCTGGAAATGTAGGAGCACTGGCCACTGTAGGTAGTTTTGTCCCCACCAGTTGAAAAACAGGATAATGGTGATACACCTGGATCAACTGGCACTGTGTCAGGAAGCCACTCAGGATGAATGGCCTTAAGGAGGGAGCAGCAGCAGTGGTTGGAGAATAAACACCGTGGAAAAACTGAGCGAGAGGAAGGAATGGTGACACACTGATAGGCTACTCAGTATGAGTAGCCTTAAGGAGGGAGCCATATGACATATTTGCTCAAAGCAAGAACTGTGGAGTCAGAGGAACGACTATTGCTAGGTAATGGGCTGTACACATCCAGCAGAGGAATACGTCGCATATGCTGTAATGTCACACAATAGTAGAAGAAGTGTTGCAAATTGCATTCTCTATGGTCTGCACTGTGCTTGTTGCTACATGACTGTGCAGTAGCCACATTTCTGCAGCAGTGAATCAACACACAACAATAGAGGAATCGGCATTTTCTTTGGGTCCGCTCTGAGGCTGTATAACGAAGATCTTAAACAGCTAGAATTAAAAGTTGAGTCGAGTTCTGGAGTTGGCAGTTGCACCATAGAATTGAGAGGGTCTGCAATCTAAGGTGACTGAGAAGAAATGACAAGAAAGGAATTAGACTGTGCGAAGAAGACTTCATAGTGTGCTGCAGTGACAATGAGACTCTTATAAATCCATTGCCAGGATACGACTAGTGAAGACTGAGAACTGTAGAGTGTGTGACAGTGAATTGTAAAGTGTGGAAATAGTGATAGTGCTGTAATTGCCTGTAGTTCTGAGTGGTGTGTATAAGGTGTCAGTAAATCCAATCAACCAATCCAAAACCTGTATAATAGTCACAACCCCCTATGCATGACAATACTTTATGTACAAGTGCATACATGAAAGCATATTGCTTATACACTTGTTTGGATATATGTATTTACACACTTTTTTGAATGTACCTAAGATTTGTTTCTTTTTCCATTAACAGGGTTGTTGAATGGCTGGACGAGTATCACCCAGGATCATTCCGTCAAGCCCAAGTGTCTTTCTCAACTCGCATTCCCAATGCATTCCCTCTGGGAGATGCAATGACAATGTCCACAAATGTGTGTCTTTACAATGCATATGGTTGTCACCTCAACTATCGTGATGTTTTAAAACCACCTGCAACCAACAAGGGTCCAGTAAATGGACCTGTGAATGATGCAGAATCATCCACTCCCTTGCCAAGTGTAATAGAAGAGGAATCAGACTTAAATTTGAATGTTCCTGCCATGGAGACAATGCAGCAAGCACCAGGTGCAAAAGTTCTAAGTCCCAAACATGGAGGTATGTTTCAGCTGAATACATTCAAAACATGACATCTTAGGACGATTTGCAAAATGAATGTACCTGTACTCTTTCCTCCTGTCATGATGTTGGAGAGAGGAGAGTAGGAATTGTTTATTGTTAGAACATTTGAATCATCAGTTTCTGACTTGGAAGTAATTCTGGATGTGTTTTAAAGTGAAGAGAATTTTCAGATTGTGATTTTCTCTGTTCTGTAACTGCATAGTCTGTAAATGATTACTGACGTTTCAGCAGAGCATGCTGTGTCCGTCTTACCCAAATCATCAGTAACCACGTATAAATCTACACAGTGTCATAATCTAGAACACGATCCAAATTTTCATCATGATAACCTCTAGTCTCTTATCTGGGAACAATATTTTTGGCACTGTTCTTTTGCACATATTGAAATCATTGTTCAATGGTGTAAAATCTTCCTGTGTTATTCCTTAAGCATTTTCTACCAACTGAAATTGTTAGTGAATATAGATGTATGTGGAGGTCCTTAGGTTGAAATATTTTTGTATGCACTTTATTTTTCAGATATTTGTAATTTATGCACTTTCCTTAAAAGGCTGGTAGGAGCTGCATATCCAAACAAAGCTCCTGGAAAAAGTTCTTTTGTATGTAACCTATTCTTTTAATATCTTGGAAAGTAGATACATGGTTACATTTTATCAGTGGCGTAATTATAAGCATTTCTGTGATTTATTCTGCCAATTTCATCGTCACCCTCTTTTCTGTTTGCTCTTGTCATGCCCAGATTCTTAAATTTTGAAACATTCTTAAAGAATAGATGCTTTATAGTTATGTATATTATGAATTTGATTGCAAGGTTATAATTGAATGTGATTTGAATGCCTGATGGCAATGACTCTGAAGAGTACTGTCTTCTGAGATGTGATCCCTTTCAGTCTGGTAGAAGTTTTTGCCATTTCAGAGTAATGTACGCCTTCTGTCTTCAGGTTTGAACACTAAGCCAGGCAAGCAAGCATTACACAGATGAATCACTAGCTTGCTTGGCTTACTCTTTGACCCTGAAGAAGGAGGCAGTATGTGCCTCCAAAATGTCAATAACATTCTACCAGACTGCATGCTGTCACATTCTAGAAGGCAGTATTCTTTAAGAATGTAATTGTTGAAGGACATACTTGTTAATTTTCAGCATCTTGTTTTAGGGAATTGTCTTATTTTTAAGAACCTTTGTAGTTCTGAGTAATGTAGTACATATTTAGGTCTTCATAATAAATCTGAAAGCATAAGTCTGAAGATAGCTTGACATTCAGTCTTCCATGTTACAGGTTCAGCCAGTTCAACAGGTGAAGACTCAGGGAATGGAGGCAACTTGTCAGATGTGATATCAGCTGATCCCTCTCCAGCTCTGTCTATGGTGTCAAAACATTCCAATGGAACTTTGAATTTGTGGCAGCTGACATTCGCAGATCAGACCAAGTTCTCACAGGTCCTGAGCATAGGTCATTCATCCCGAGCATCAGGGCATCGGTTCCGGGTGAATGACATAACATGTCACCCAGTACTACCACTACTTCTCACAACATCTCATCATAACATAACAGACTTCCCCACATCACCACCAAGCAACATCACAGTAGAAGATTCTATGAATCCTTTCATTAAAAATAAGGATGTTACTGCACCTACAGTGAGTATCTTATGTCCACTAACTGCGCAGGGTCAGTCAAAAGAGCTGTAACTGAAACACTTGAGGCACATGCATAAGTTTGTGGATAATTTGCACCATAGGCACCACCAGTGGTAACTTGTGGAATCACTGTTTGATAAGATGGTGTACACTCTAGAGCTGTGTGTGTTTATAATGAAAATGTTTTATTTTATGGGTGGTTTCATTCAGGGACAGTGCAACAAAATTGGCCTTCAACACAAACGGTGAATATGATTTTGGGTGTCCTCAGTGAGCATGTTAGTAGCCATGTTATCTGAAACATATTCCTTAGATGGGTCAACTATAGATAGCCCTGGCCATCATGTTCTTCTGATCTCAACCTTCATGATTATGTTTTAAGGGGACATCTGGAAGATAATGCGCACAGAAACAGTCCTCGTGCAGTTGAGCTGAAACAAGAAATTTTACGTACTGTTATCGGAATCACAACAAATACACTATCACAGTAGTTGCCATTTTTCTAAATGGATTACAGAATGGTCTTGAATGCTGGTGGTTCACATTGAACACGTTCCCCATTGACAGAGCATTCTCTCAATTCTATTTTGCTAACTAATACCAGTATTATTCACTTATTAAAATGTACCTGTATATTAGGTATATCACAACCTGGTAACATGAAACAATTGGTGCTTTAATAGTATAAAACATTTTTGCTCCCAGCATTGCTACAGCTGGCTTACCTGCCATCCTGCCATTTTTAGCAGCAGATTAACAGTTTACAGTAATCCACAGTAAAAGATGAGTAGCAAGTGATTATATATATCCACCTTCTAGTGACAGAGGAAGGAACTGTGTGTTCAGAGTGCTTTCAGAAAGAAACAGTTCTGACGTCAAAGCATATCTATAAACACCAAATTCCTCTATTATAATAAGAAATATGGTAATATGTCATTTGAAAATGTAATCCTCTGTGGTAGTTTTTACACATCATCTGAACAACTGAGTCTGTTGACTGGAGTGTGTGTTAAGTACAAATAAATCTTAATGTTTATGTTCTGCCAGTGAGACATGGATTCGCAGGGCCACAGGGTTTTTATGTTAGACATGACAACTTTGTTCCTTTGTTGGATGGCACCCTTCTGCTTTAGGCATTACTGCCTATTTTAGGCACCCTCAGCCATGTTATTCAGACTTTTTTTTCAGTTGGAGGCTGTGGAGGCAATTTAATGATAACATGTTCTCCAATATCCATGTTAGGTGGGTGCATTGTCACCACAGCATGGCACATCCTCAGGTTGCGGATGGAGGAGACGACCTCCAGATATGGATATAGAATAAGCAGTCATGAACATCCGACAAGGGGTGGTGCTCCAGCTGGGGTGGTTGGGCATGGGGCTAACAACTCCTCACCGTAAGAAAAATAAGTTTGTTATGAAAGATCACAAGAAGCCTTGGACCTGGATACTAGTGAAGGATGAGAATTGTGATCTGCTTGCAGATTCTCACAACATTTTGAATATGTGGAAGAACCACTTCCCTCAGTTATTCAATGCACATAGGGGCATTGATACATACAGCTGAGCCGTTAATACCTGATTCTAGCCCATTTGAGGTTGAAAGTGCTATTGCAAAATTGAAACGGTATAAATCGCCAGGTAGTGATCAAATTCCAGCAGAACTTGTTCAAGCAGGAGGGGAAATATTACGTTCTAAGATCCATAAGCCAATTAATTGTATTTGGAATAAGGAAGAATTGCCTGATCAGTGGAAAGAGTCTATAATTGTAACATTTCACAAGAAGGGTGATAGAACTGACTGTAGTAATTATCATGGGATATCACTGCTATCAGCTTCATACAAAACTTCATCCAATATTCTTCTCTCAGGATTAAGTCCTGTATATGAAATTATTGGGGATCATCAGTGTGGGTTTCAACGTAACAGATCAACTACTGAGCAGATCGTTTGCGTTCATTAGATACTGGAGAAAAATTGGAGTATGGTGAGACAGTATATCAGCTATTCATATACTTGAAGAAAGCCTGTGATTCAGTTAGGAAGGAAGTACTGTACAGTATTCTCATAGAACTTGGGGTACCCATGAAATGCCGGGAAGTTCTTGAGTAGCTGCACAATTATCAGCTTCTCAAGAAGGGCCCAGCTCCTTGAGTGAGTGATGTTGGCTTATGTACTCATAATTTCATGGTGTGTTGAGAAAGCTGTTTGAAACTTAAGACAAAATTTGTTTAAGTTGATATAATTTTCTTTCGTTGTGGTGTTCTCATTTATATTGTTTATAAGACTGAGGAAGTTAGCTCAAGTGGTAATGCTCGTGACTTGTATTGGGATGTGTCCTGTTCAAATCTCAACTGGGACATCGACAATTCTGGTTGGTTTCCTCAGTCCCTTCAAGCAGATGTTGGGATAGTACATCAGACTCTGGTGTCTTCTTTTCACATCCTTTCTAATATGTTGTTGAGTAATCATCTTAGCATTCAGTAGTATATAATCTGAGACAGTGACAGCTATGCTAAATGATCCATAAATAAATAATTTATAATATAAAGGTGTCAAATTTAGTAAAACATGTTTGTTTCTGTTGTATTAATTTTGTGCAGGGTTTCTGCAGTGAATTAATTTTGTGGCGAGTAGATGCTGTTGGTCCACTCTCGAAGTCTGGTGGAGTGTCAGAGTTAGCCAGAATAAATTCTTTAGAAATATCAGCCTTCTCCAATGTTGCATGGATACCAACATTACTACCAAGGTGTGTATCTTTATTTGTTGCCTTGCACGTATGGCATTTTACATTATAACTTCTATATGACAGTTATAGAGATGATAATTGCTCTTGCTTACAACCATATGTGGGGTGTAGTTATCTCTTATGCTGTAAACATATTCCTGTAGGTAATATCAGGATTAAGGGAGATCTTTGAGAGGATGTGCAGCTATAATCCATTATTTTTCTTAGAGAGGGAGAGAGAGATATGTAACAGCCAGTCACAATATGGGGTTGGGGTGGCCTTTACCTGAGTCTCATAGTTTTTACTTGGCAGTGATACAATATTGTGGCCTGTAGACCCATTGCTAGACAATGACCACAACACACATGTGGCCAACAGTATAGGAACACTGTTTTCTACATCCACGGATGGACCATTGCTATGCAAGTGTGTGCTGAGACGTCACACAACAGTATGTGGCCATCATGTGACATGTTTCTTGCAAGTGCAGTGATGTCACAACAGTAGTGGTTAGCAATCAAATGACATGTGTTTGCAATGATGTGCACTTTCTTTCCCTTGGCTATATAAGCGTGTGACATAGTCCTGAGTTCTGAGTTAGTTACAAGCTGAGAGAGAGATATAGAAGTGGCAGAATCATGGTAATTGGAACTGAAAGTGACTGTGTGTGTGTGTGTGTGTGTGTGCGTGTGGAGACAGTTCAGTTCGGTTAGAGGTACAAGAGAGAGATACTGGCAGCATAAGCACACGAACGGAGCAAATTGGAACAGAATTACAAAAGAATACAGGAGGTTGGCCTGTGAGAATTTAAAATGTGAATGGAAGATTTTATATGTAATACTGGTAGTGATTTGCAGTGACAATTCTATTTTGAGATCTGTTGCTAGGAGACAACTAGTGGAAGCAGAGAATCCTAGTGTGTGTAAAACGGTAAACTGGAAAGTGTGTAAATCAGTGATAGTGCTATATTGCATGTATTTAAGTGTGATTAAGAGAGAGTGTGTGTAACTGAAGCGCTAATAAGTGCAATCATCCAAACTAGAAGTAGCTAGTAATCTTACAGGTATAATGAAATTAATCACTTCCCTGAGAGGCAGACTAAAACTAGCATTAATGTTGAACTTCACCCCCAAAGAATATTTACACTGAAGTTATTTTCAAGGTTCCTCCTGGGGACAGAAAATTAAACTGAGAAAAACCTAAAGTAGAGGACAATTTTACCAGTAGTCTTTATTGTGAAAAGGAAATATGTTGTCATTATTAAATTAGGAGTCCTTTAAGTTCAAAAGACAGGGGTGTAATTAATATTATAATGGTTGTGTTTTTTCCAGCACTACATTAGGCAACCTTTCAAATTCCCCAAGTGCATGCTTTGTTGCGTCAGATGGCAAGAGTCTACGTGTTTACCAGGCTGTGATTGACGCTCGTACTCTGCTTGCCGAAGTGTCCAGCTCGGAACGCAGGAGTAGGATGCTGGTAGGATATCTTTCCTTGTGTGTGTCTTTTATTGTGGAGGGATGTTGCATGCATTGTTATGTGTGTGCTGGGGCCGCGCCATTGCTCAAGCAGTTAGTCGCTGGCTTTCCACCACAGTGGCCTGGGTTCGATCCAAGGTCTGGTCAAGTGGGATTTGTGGTGGACAAAGTGGCCTTAGGTCAGGTTTTCTCCAAGTACTTCGGTTTCCCCTGCCAATCTTCATTCCACCAATTGCTCCACAATCACCCTCACCTATCATCTGGGGTGGGTACAATAGGCCGGAAGTGGCCGCAGTACAAGGGACAAGTACAAGTCCCACCCCACCAGCAATAAAAAAAAAATATGTGTGTGCTGCATAACAGCCATCACTCTTGTACATTGATGGGATAAATGATTACAGATTACAGTGAAATCCCGATTTAGTGTTTGTAGATTTAGTAAAATCCTTAATTTTTTTCTGATCACAGCTGAAGTCCTGTAGAAGCAATGTATTATTTTCTTGTATTTACTGAATTTTTATTTGGTAAGTATCCTGCATTTTGTGTAAGAAATGGTGGACTTCTCAGAGCTTGTTGCCTGATATAGGATCAATTTTAGGTCCCTTACTTTTTCTTCTCTACATAAATGATCTATCTAAAACCATCAACAATAAATCTAAACCAATTCTATATGCAGATGACACTAGTATAATATTTAAGAACTCTAAATTTGAAAACTTTAAAAATGACATAAATATTGTATTTGAATCCTTAAACAGATGGTTCGAAGCCAATTTACTCTCATTAAATTTTGATAAAACCCATTACATATCATTCACAACTAAAAACAACCACCAAATTGATCTGGACATCAGTTATGCCAACAAATTAATCTGTAAAGTACTTGATACAAAATTCCTTGGAATACATGTAGACAGTACACTGTCTTGGAAAATACATATTGAACAAATTATACCTAAATTAAATGCAGCTTGCTATGCGATGAGATCAATTAAGCCTTTTATGTCACAGGAAACATTGAAGATGGTTTACCATGCCTACTTTCATTCTATTATGAACTATGGATTAATATTTTGGGGGAACTCTTCACATAGTGTAATAATTTTTAAAATACAAAAGAATATAATTAGAATCATTACAGGATGTAGAAGTAGAGATTCATGTAGAGAATTATTTAAGAAATTAAAAATTCTACCTCTTCAATCGCAATACATATTATCGCTTCTCTTATTTGTTGTTTACAACAAAGATAAATTCAAATTAAATTCTGATGTCTATAACATGAATACTAGACAAAAATATAACTTCCACCTACCCTCATCAACTTTATCAGTATATCAAAAAGGAGTCTACTTTACTGGCATAAAAGTGTTCAACAATCTGCCACAAAGTATTAAAAACTTGGGCAATGATACTAAAAAGTTTAAATCAGAGTTAAAGAATTATCTACATGCTCATTCCTTCTACTCTTTAGATGAATACTTCAATGTAAATAGAGAATGATGTAAAATTAAGTTATATTAATTTTTAAGCTAAAATTGCCTGTACTTATGTATGTAACCTTTTGACTTGTTCTGTATCCAAAGGTACTAACCTGCTTAGGATTTATAGAATGTAAATAAATTCAATTCAATTCAATTCAATAGTGCAGTTCAGTCAAATGAAAAATTAATATCCTTCGTTAGCTGTCTGCTGGAAATTCTTTCTGCACAAGCATTAAGTTTATTTTGTATGTCATTCATTATTTTAGAAATAGTGCTATTATAATTGTACACAGTAAGTCCTGTAAGATGATGCACTGTTTTTATATGTGATTTGCGTAACCTGTATTTAGTGTAAGATAGAGATTAAAGATATTTCACTTATTGACATCTGTTATACACAGAACTATCAGTGCTCTGAATCTGAGTAAACCAAAATTGACAAGTTAAGCAAATCAATGACACCAGTTATCAAATAAAATTAATCACCAAAGCTTGTATCTTAATGTTATTTTGTGAAATGTGCATGATTTGTAATTGAATGTTTTAGCTGTAAGTGAACTGCAGTGAAATAATAACTGCACAACACATAATTAAGATTTGAACTTGTCATTGTTAAATTGTTCAGAGACTGAATACTGAACCACTAATCTATGGAATATATGTATCTGTGTGTCACATGAAGATGAAAGTTAAATTTCAAACCATTGTGACATAAGAAATGTAAATTATACTTATCAGACTCTATGAATGTTTCTTCAGCAAATAGCTCCAGGTAACAAATTTATGAACAGTTCTGTGGGACACAGGGATGGACAAAGGACTGGTTTACTGAGCTGCCCATATAGAATTTTGTTTTGACTTTTCCAGAAATAATCCCCATCCATGTATTTAGCCTATTTTATAGAACAGTTCTGTATAGTGCTTGAATGGACTGAGAACCTGGTAACAGACCTATTCCAGATTCTCAGTAGAGAATTAGATGTTGATTTTCCCATATGCAAAGACTTCAGAGGCAGTGGGTTAGGAACTACTGCAACTGTTACATGGTCATAACTGAACATTCCAACTAAATGTGCCTGTTATGTGTAAATAATACCTGTTGCTGTGTGTAGTGCTGCAGATGTAGCTAACATTAGGTCTGAATGTATATAAGTTAGTAATTGAGGCCATACAATAGCTTGGGTGGTTGGTTGATGTGGTTTCACTGGGGAGGCTGAGGTTCAATACCAGGACAGTCCATGTGGTATATGTGGTGTAGATAGTGGCACTTGGGCTGGGTTTCCCACATCAGTTAGTCCACTAGTGCTGTATTTTCTTGTCCAGTGTCTGAGGCTGATACAGTCAGTCCACTTGCAACCTAAGTATGAAGGGACTCAGTCTCACTCCAACAAGTGAATAAAAACAAGTTAGAAATTGGGTATGTTTGTTGTAGTTGTTGTGATGAAATCAAGAATGCTGAGTAGTTGGACTAATTGTATAGAATATATAATGCAAATATGGAAAGCACAGTTCTAAACTGTTAGTATAGTTTCTGACAAGAATAGAAAAGAATGCTGTATTCCAGTGGGAAAAAAATGTTGCAGAAGACTGTTTAGAGAACCAATAGTAAGTAATTGTTAGAATTGAAATTTAGGTGATGGAGGTGGGGATTCACCTGACTTTGGATAGTCTGCTGCTGTATGTAGACTCATAAGAGCAATGAACTCTGATTCTTTAATTAGTTATGCTTCATTTTGTATAGGACTCAATGGTGAGCTTGTCGACTGATTCTTCTTCTGATGATGGTTTGAAACATTCATCGCTCCATGATAGAATAAAGATAGTGTCGCAGCAGTCCACTGCAAGGCCAGGATGTGTCATTCAGTTGGATGCCATATCTGATGCAACTCACGTAAGTTCAGACTATTTTCGTACCATATCTGTACAGTATCTATACACATCATTTTATTATTGCATTCCCCTTATGATGGTCTAACATTTATTACTGTCATTTTTTATAGTATCGATTTCATTTCCACAGAGTTCAGTGTGTAGGTTTTTGCTGTCATATTTTTCTTGTATGTACAGTGTGAAACCATGAACATAATATTAATGAGTACCAGGAATGGCAAAAGACTTTTTGCTTGACTCCTCCTTTCTATGCTTATGTCAGAATATAGATCAGTGCAGTCCAAGGCCTTATTTTACCAGGTACTGGAATTTAATTTGTAGACATTTGGTAGGACTCCTTGAACAGGAGACTGGTTCATCACAATGCCTCTTATCTGCATAGGACATCACAAAGAAAAAGGAACACAAATGTACATTCATGCTATAAATTGTATTCAAACCCACAATCCATGTATTCAAGTGGTGAAAGACAGTACACACCTTAGACTGCATGACCACTGTGATCAGTCAACCCTTGTACTGATTTGTAATGGCATAAGATATCACCAAAACTGCAACTAATTAACTAAACTAACTCCATGGAGCTGAGCCCTTCTTGAGAATCTGCCAGTTGTTCAGCTACTCAAGAATTTCCCAATATTTTATGGAACCCAAAGACTCATTACTGTGTTCACAAGAGCCCTTCAGTTTTCTATCCTGAGCCATATCAATCCAGTGTATACCACCCCATCATATCTCTCTAAGATCCATTTTAATGTTATCCTCCCACTTGCATCTAGGTCTTCCTAGGGTTTTTTTCTTCTGGCATTTCCACCAAAATAATATATGAATTTCTCTGTCCCCTCACATGCTACATGCCCAACCCATCTCATCGAGTTGATCATTCTGCTTATACTTGGTGAAGAGTAGAGGTTATGAAGCTCCTCATTATGCATCTCAAATCTCCCATCACTTCAGCCTTCTTTGGTCCAAATATTCTCCTCAACCCCCTGTTCTCAAACACCCTCAGTCTATGTTCCTCCCTTAAGGTTAAGAGACCAAGTTTCACACCCATACAGAACCACAGGCAAAATTATAGTTTTGTATATTCTAATATTAATGTTTTTAGAAAGCAGACGAGATGACAAAACATTCTGGACTGAAAGGTAGCAAGCATTACCTGAATTCAAAACTTCATCTAAGAGTTAATTTGATGAATTAACCACCATACTTTTGTTAACATTTCAGCTCAGGATTTTCTTTGCAGTAGAAAATATTTTACTTTCTTGAGCAAAATATTTAAATGTACATGAAAGCCTCTTAATCTGAATAAAGGAACTGGAGTGAAACCCTCATTTAAGGCTTCTTTATTGAGTGACAGATTTGAATACTAAACTGAGAATAATCTTAATGGGGGAAATTTGACATTGAGAATGTTGATTTTATGTTATTGAAATTGAAAATTAAATGAGGGAACACCTTAAACTGAAGAATATTAAAGGGGGTTCCACTGTCAGTTGAGGAAGGACAGATTTTTTGCTTTTTAAAGTAAGATTCTGCTGTGATATGAACAAGATTATTGAACATTTAATTCATACTGACTACCTCATTTGAGCATGCATTGCAGTTGCTGCTAGCATGGGACATACTGAGTTGGTTAGGGGGACATCTGGATAATCACATGGCTTCATGAAATTGAGTGCCAAGTTACAAAGTCTGTAGTTAGCTAGGACCTTATCAGTCATGTAGAATATGTGAGGCTGTTCCATCTTTCTTATGACACCTTTTTCAAGTTCCATACTAGTTCCAGTTTGAAGAGGTGTTCTTTTGAGTGACAGTGTCCTGTAAATAGTCTTGTCACAGTTCTCAGCTAATTCATATTCAGTCCCAGTACACTGAAACCTCCATTAAAGTCTTCTTTGTGGACCATTGCATCTGAACACTTAACTGAGGAAAATCTTGAATGGAGGAAATTTAGTAGCATGACTGACTTTGGATTGCTGAAATTGAATATTAAATGAAGGACAGCCCTAAATTGAGGAACATTAAATGGGAGTTCCATGGAGGATTCTTGAAAGAAACCCTTTATACAGGGTCATTCACAAGTCCATGAAACATTTTAAAAATTCGCAATAAATGAACTATGCATCAGATCATGGTAATTCTTATGCCAATAGAGAACGAATTTCTCCAAGTCTTTATGAAAGCCATTGCCTGCTAATCTCAGGGATCTTCGCAACCGTATCACCGCTGCTGCGGCTCTGGTCAACCGCGATATGCTGACACGGGTGTGGGACGAAATGGATTATCGCATAGATGTCTGCCGTATCAGCAAAGGTGAACACATTGAGCATCTGTGAACTATGTAAAGGAAACTTAGTGAGTTTGTCTCTATTCCAGTGTAATAAAATTTGGTATCCGTTGCGTAGTTTATTTATTGTGAATTTTCAAAATGTTAAATGGACTTATGGATAACCCTGTATATTTATGTTTAAGTATGAGCTCCCAGAATGTTTGATGATCTTTGTTCATCCAGACCCTGGTGACCCTTTAGAAATACTGCATATCTGTTCAGGTTCTATAAATGGATGTTTAGTTTTCATTCTTTCCTTCTGGGAAACAGTGTAATTTCCATCAATTCCCACATGACCCAGCACCCTTATCTGTTGACTGGGTTAACAGAATTGTAATGTAATTGTAATGTTATAGGATTGGCAGAACACCCAGTTCCTGCATGTGTTTCAAGAGCAGCTAATTACAGGAGAACGTGCAGAAGAGAAGAATAGTGGTGCACGGGATGTAAGCCGGGACGGTGATCTCAGTCTGATGGAGACACAGCTGGGTGCCATGGTTGATCTCCAGCAGTCTGTAGTATTTGAGGAGCCATTCTACATTGTTGTGCTGGAAAGGACTAACAAGGGTACAGTTGTGCATATGTGGAGGCTTGTGATTGCTTCACAACCAGAACCTGCAGGTAATACATCTCCTGCTGTTTCAAAAACTGTTGCCTGCTACTGTGTCACACTCATAAACTGTAATTAAATTGCTGTAGATAATATTTATTGTGTTAATAGTGTTGTCTTGACAGGAATGTAATGAATGTTATCTATTTACACCGTCACGTCCGTCTTTGATGCAACTTTGCTTACAATTCCTCCTTAATTTAAAATAATATTAAAATTACAGTTACACCGCTACATGTTTTGGCCTTACTTGGCAACCCTCAGGCAACTGTTCACTTGTTGAAACCACTACACTACATTAGTTATTAGGTTAAAATATTCTGTGTTATTGCATTTTCGTCATTCACATTAAAATACATTTGCTTGCAAACTTAACTCTTTATCTTTTCTTGCCCCAATTCCTTCTTATGGCATCCATTTTTTTTTGTGCTGTTGATTGATTTATTTAGCCCTATGAATATCAGCATGGTGTTCTTATCATTATTTTTATGTACACCATTAGTATATGTGTTCCACTAGTCAAGTGTATGTCGCTTGTGTGTGAAGTGATACATCAATGGAACAGGACCCTAAAATACAATATTATAAATGTTATCTGTAGTGAGTTACACAGCGAGATGCAACAAATTTGAGTATAGGCTTGCAGCTGGAAGACAACTGAATATAATGTTATAGATATTTACATCTTGATTCAGAACTATAAGTTTATGCTACCAGATTTTCATTAAATACAGCAATTTTGTATTGACAGAGATGACAGGCAGTATGATGTATGTGCCTGACAGCCATCTTGTGCAAGATGATGATGAACCTGAACCCACTGGAAGATCAGCAAGCACAGCAGGTGCTGACCAGGTGGGCCGTGATGAAAATCTGACACCCGTCCAGACATCTCATGTTGTGATAACTACAACTAAGGTGAGCTGTTTGAGGGAAGAGGAGGAGGAGTCCCTTAGGAACCCATTGAAATGAAAGCAGCTTTGTCACACTGTTAACCACACTGGGGGGGGGGATTGAAATGAAAGCAGCCTTGTCTCACTGTTAACCATACCTGGGGAGGGGGAGTATTAGTGCCCTTGATGCAGATCCTTCGGTCAAAAACTACAGTTAACTCTCGTGTATTTGACATGTATGGTGAATGGGATGCACCAGTTACATGAATCTGCTGCTTGCATGGCAAAAACTTATGGAAACTCAGTGCAGTACAGTGTAGTAGATAAGTGTGTGCTATATTATTATTTTCTGTTTAAAAGTTAGAACAACACATTTCTGCCATAGTTCTTGCATGGGAGTCTTCTTAGATGACATAGCAGATTAAAGGGCAAAAGATTTTGGGTATATTATCACACAGTCACAAATTCAACTAGCTCTACCTGCGTGAGGGAGGACAGTGGGCAGCACTGCTACTGGTGGCAGAGAGAACTCCCACATGGTGGGTGAACATTACAATCCACTGAAACTTTGTTTTTGAAGTAACTTCATAAAAGTCATCAGTTTGCTTTGAAACTTTGCCATTTTTTTGAGAATTATTGTTGCATGCATACAGGATAACTGGGAGTATGTTGTATTCATAATATTCTCCCATGTGCATTGGGTGTTGCCCACACAGACAGAAATCCAACAAAGTAAGCAGCAAGTGATGAGACACTTTAGAATGGTTAAGATATATGTTACTGCACCATCATCTCTCTCTATATTTCTGAAAGATTGGCAGTGACCAATTTTGTATAATGACTGAAGATGCAACAAGTAGTACAAGTCAGGAAATATAAGAGTCTCGATGGTACTGTGCAAGCAGTTCACAAAAACACGTGCACGAAACGTTAGTTGTTGTTTTTTTGTCCAAGTAATGCAAATTTTGAATTGTTATATGGTCACAGCAACTGTAAAGGGAGTTCAGGGTGTTTGTCACTTGTGATAAGTGATAAGAAAGTGTTGAAGACACGTTTGCATAGACTGTTAGCATAAGCTGGCCAGAAAAATTAAATGGCTGAGATTTTAAATGACCCATCCAGATGTGGAATTTTTGATAATTTATACTGCTAAATGTACCAGGTTTCTACCAGCTGACAACTGAACATACTTTAGCTGTCAAAAGTTTACCAGTGTAAAGACAACACATGTTGAAAACAGGGTTCACTGCCAATGCTGTGGCATGGTTACACCTATAACTATGACTTGTTATTACTTTCTTTTTGATAGGTGAACTTTCATTTATACCTAATCATATTTGCATACTGTATGAGACCTAATGTAAGGTGACCCCCTATTTTTCCAATGAGATTTCTGGGGTGCAAAATTAATTATATCATTTAGTTCTGAGTGTTACTTCATCTAATTATCTTCTTCATATTTATTCTTAAGAACCTGAAAATAGGGTGATTCTTATTTTCTGAGTAGTAGTATCTGAAAAGAAACCCCATCTTATATTTAGTCTAATATGGTCATTTGTAGGCTTATCAAGATTCAAATTGCCATACTGAGTTAAGCTGTCTTTGCAGATCTTATGTTTCATTCAAGTTTACAGTTGTATGAAAAATGACCCTAAGTAGTTTGGTAGGTATGTACGAACCTTTTGGAGGAACCCCCTGCCTCTGTCTTCAGGGTAGAAGGGTAAGCCATTATGTGGGAAATGTTTTGGATATATGGTATGGCGGTCTAGGGCCAGGGCTGTGAGCTGTTGAGTAGGAAATAGTGGCTCAGTTAAGGGCTGTTCTGTCAGTGCCCTGAGAATCTCATAACTAAAAATAATATAAATATTCTGTGTGAGACAATTTTTTTGTAGTTCCATTGACAGAGTTATTCAATTATGTATTAATTACTACATGTTTCAGCCTTATTGACCATCCTGAGATATATATACATAAATAAAAGGGTAAATGTAAGAATTATACGTGGTGTGTTCAAAAAGTATCGAACCTTCTTTTTTCCCGCGTAAACCAATGAAGCGCGGGAGGCTCCCTTCTGTGGAGATGTGGAGGGGACATTCATGTGCAATTGTGAATTTTTTCCCGCCTGCAGAAAGCGTCAGTCGCTGGCAGTCGGCCTATGAGTGAGGATGTGTAGTGAGCACTTGTCGGATTCCAGTAAAGTGTAAAATGATGGAACAACATGAGCAGCGATATTGCATCAAATTTTGCGAAAAGCTTGGCGATACCCAAGTGGAAACCATTTGCAAGATTCAACAGGCTTTTGGGGCGATGCCATGAGCAACTCATGGATAAAGGAGTAGTACAACCGCTTCAAAGATGGCCGCACATCAGTGGACAGTGAACCGCGTTCAGGCAGACCTTCAACAAGCCGAATTGAGAATGTCATTGAGCAAGTGCAGACTTTGGTCATGGAGGACCGTCGTATCACAGTCCGAGAACTTGCAAACGAGATAGGGGTAAGCATTGGATCGGTACATTCAATTTTGACTGAGGATTTGGGCATGAGGAGAGTGTCCGTGAAATTTGTACCGAAACTGCTAACAATGGAGCAGAAGCAACGCCATCTGGAAACTGCACAGGACATGCTGGACAATGCAAATAGTAACCTCAACATTCTGAACACTGTGATCACAGGTGATGAGTCGTGGGTTTATGGGTATGACCCGAAAACCAAGATGCAATCGTCACAGTGGAAACATCCGACATCCCCGAGGCCAAAAAAAGCACGGCAGGTCCGCAGCAATGTCAAGGTCATGTTGGCCGTTTTCTTTGACTCCCGTGGGGTTATGCATCATGAGTACGCACCACAAGGCCAAACCATCACAAAGGAATAGTACCAGGAGGTCCTTCGTCGCCTTCGTGATGCTTTGTGATGCAAACGACCGGATCTGTGGACAGCAAAAACTTGGCAGCTCCATCATGATAATGCACCCACCCATTCTGGCATCTGATTCAGACTTTTGTCGCCAAACACAACATCCCTGTGGTTCGTCAGGCTCCCTACTCCCCCGACATGGCTCCATGTGACTTTTGGCTATTTCCCAAGCTGAAAATGCCGCTGAANAGGGATGAAAAATCCTGAACAATTTTAATATTTTTAACATTTAATATTTATCAATATATATGATAAATATATATTTTAGTTATTTTAATATGAAGACGGCAAGGCATGCAGTGAACTAGTTTAACGTAAATCGAATAAGCACCTGAAGATGGCACTTTTGTGCCGAAACATGTAGTGCGAGAGAGAGGAGTGAGATAGATGAGTGTATGCACTGGAAGACGGTTGAAATAAATCATGTACTTTGAAGGGGATTAGGGTTTTGTACCTCCAAATCAATAAATGTATTTCTGCCAACCAAAGGTTCGATACTTTTTGAACACGCCACGTATATACCTCTTATCAGACTTATTTTTCATTTCCCAAGCAAAGGCAAATATTGTAAGCTGTTTGGTTAAATCTGATCAGTAATATACTCATATATTGGTGTATGTGGAGTGTTAAGGAAGAGAGAGTTAAATAAAAAATTGTCAAAATGAGATAAATGTGCCACATAATTCTCTTTTCTTTTAAATGGATCAAATATAACACAAGTTATGTCATGAAGCTCTAGGCCTCTTTCAACTTCCATTTCTTTGGGAGTGCTAGGAGTTCTTTCCCCAGAGGATAAACATATTGAAGCATGAAGCTCCTTATCTCTAGCTAGTGCCAAGCTTTAAGACAGCATGGAGCATTTCTTCCTTTCTGCCTTTGTGCCTTCATGGTGTAGTGTCTGGGTACAGACACCTTTTCACTTTGCTTGTACTGTCTTGGGAACATTGTTAGTATTCAGAATGTTTCTCCCTTTTCTGTCTGTTATGCTACTGTACTAATGTTTGTATTTTCATATCTTACTGCCAATGATTCTCCCTTCTTATTCAGACATAGTATGTAACTTTTTTATTGGCCCCTCCTCAGAAAATAACCTCTTCAATTTGCCTGCAAACTCTTTCCTAATGACCAGACTGTGTTATAGGTCTGCACTCAGGACCTGCCCCTGCCTGATGGAGTGGAAGTGATCCATGCATCTCCTGCTGCTGGACATCTCAGCTCTGCTTCCATCTACCCAGCCTGCTTTGCTCCCTACATTATTGTAACTGCATGTTCAGATAGCACTGTTCGGTAAGCACTTTGTTGTGTTGTCAGTAAATTGAAAGCTTCGAAGTACTCGTGCCTTCATTTCCTTATTTCCGCAGTATTGTCATGCCCCCCCCCCGAGGTGTTCCTACCTTCTTCTGCAATTCTCTTTAATCAAATTTATGTTGTTTAACATCTTTGAATCGTTTTTCTGTATCATTATGTTAAGTTTCTGTGAATGTTAAAATAGTGATAATGCTCTGGACTCTTATTTGACAGGTGCTTGGTTCAAATCTTGGCTGGAGTGCTAAGGTTTTTGTGCTTTCCCTTGGATCCTCCAGGCAAATTCTTGGATAATACCTCAGTTAGACCATAGACCACAACCACCTCCCTCCAAATCCTTTCTAATTCATCATTCATCAGTCATCCTACCATAAATTTTATATAGTCAGAGGTACTAACAGCAGTATAAAAGAATTGTATTCAGAAGAGTACAGTCTTCCAGGTTGTAACACGAAATAGTCCGGAGAGAGCCTAACATTTTGACTGAACATCATGCCATCTTCAGGCTCAAAAAGCAAGAAACCAGCAGAAGCAGGTGGCAAGCTAAGCTTTCCATGAGATCATTCTTTGATTTTGTTGAAGATATTATGTGCAATATTGGGACTGCAGTTTTTCATTAAATTTGCTACCTGCTTCTGCTGATTTCTTGCTTGGCTGGCTAATTCACCCTGAAGGTGGAGGAATTTTGTACCTCTGAACTCTGTCTGAACTACACAGTGGTACAATCCAGAAGACCATACTCTTCTATTCACTGCTGTGTGAACCTCAAATCCAAGCATGTTATATTAATTTTGATGACATGCATTTATTAGTTTATTTGAAGATCTTTGTCAGCAGATAGAGTGTATGATTGTGCATACATGTGAGCAGACATTATTTTGTCAGTAATTCTGATGTAGTAGCCATTTGGAGGTTATTTTCATATGCTCACTGAAATGAACATCATTTCCCCATTACAATAATACAGGGTGGGGCGCAGAAGCTTCCTTTTTGTGAAGACGCACTCTGAAGGGAGGGGAGGTTGCAGAAAAGTGGGGATAGGCTCGGCGAACACAGCAGCCACGGAAGTTTCTGTCTAATACCCCTCAGTAGGAAACATGAGGTGGATGAGTGAGCAGCGTGCGTTTGCTGTCGAAGCCTATTTTTCGAACAACCATTCCTACAGTGGCAGTGCAATGTGCGTTCTGACCTGTCTGTGATAATTTGGGGGGCACATGGTAGCATAGTTGGTTGAGGGGCTATGCTACAAGCTGGATGGCCATGGGTTCAAGTCCCGATGAGGTCATTGGATTTTTTTCAATTGACCTCATCCTTCCAGCCACACTATGGCCCTGGGGTTGACAGCCTCTAACAGAAATGAGTACCAGGAATTAATTAAATAATTTTCCTGGGGAGTAAAGCATGGCCGGCGCGTAAGGCTGGCAACCTTACCGCCATCTTCAAGCCGATTGTCTACATAATGCGGGACCCTCAACGTCTCACAACCCTATGGGCCTTCACGGCCTGTTACAGGGATAGCTTTGCTTACTTACTTTTACTATGATAATTTACTTATTTAACTTTTTGTAACTGGCCAGGTTTTCATGGGGGCATGGTGTAGCTCAGTTGGTTGAGGCACTATGCTACAAGCTGGAAGGTCATGGGTTCAAGTCCCAATGAGGTGAATTTTTTTTTTCAATTTACCTAATCCTGTCAGCCGCACTATGGCCCAGGTCTCAACTCAGCCTCTAACAGAAATGAGCACCAGGAATCTTCCTGAGGGTTACGTAAGGCTGACAACCTCTGCCATCTGTGAGCCAGTTGTCTAAAGAAAATGTGGGAGCCTCAACTTCTCTCCACCCTATGGGCCTTCATGGCCTGTTAGAGGGATAGATTTTTTTATACCTAGTTTCCACATCAGCAGCATGGTTTTCCCCAGAGGAAATTAAAGCAAGACCATGATTCCGACCAGTAGCTTTTAAACAGAGAAACTGTTTTAGCCTGAAACTTGATATGGAAGCCGTAATGTTCTGGGAAACCATGAAGCCTTTTTTTTTCACTTTTCTTACTTTAGCAAATATGTAGTCTGCATGCAGTTTATAGGAAGAGGTTACTCATATTTAAACTAGGGATCCTGTTTCAATGAAAATCATTGTGCATGTAATAGACGTATCACAATGCAAACCCCATTCCAATTTTTTTAAGCATTTCAAATTTATTGTCCTTCAGCTGGCAGTGCAGAGAATCATTGGTCATAAATATATATTGTAATGGGTTTGATGAGCACATTGCCAGGCAACATCTTTGTAAACACAGTCCAATATGCAACAACAGAGGAAGCTGTGTTTTCTGTAGATCCAACTGACGTGCCAATAGATTGGGTGGATAGTTATCACATGATATGTGTTTACTGTAGGTCCATGTCTATTCTGTGGCTATATAAATAAGAGTGACAGAATTTGTTCAAGACAGTTACGAGTATTAGTAGCAACAGAAACACTCAAACAAGCAAGCAAGCAAGCAGTAAACTTGAGGAGTAGAGGTGTACAAGAAGTCAGCTTGTGAAGATTTAACATGTGATTTGAAGACTTTATATGTGCTATAGAGAAGTGATATTGGGAGTATGTGATTTAGTGAGACTTTTATAGTTCCTGTGTTATAAATCTGTGATGTCTAGTGGAGATAGACTGAAGAGAGTAGCTGAAGCACTTTGTAGTGTGAAAATTAGTAACAGTGCTATAATTAATTGTACTTGCGGTCTGTAAATGGTGAATGAATCCAATTACCAATCCGAACCCCGTTTTTAGTCACTGATACATGTGACAGCTGGTGTCAGAAGTGGTACAGATTGGATCAGATTGATCAGATTATTGGATTTACAATTGCAGCACGTATATCACCACATTATGGAGATGGAACAAAGAATGGAACACCTGCTGGCAAAAATCTACGCCAAGATGGATGCCAGTACAAAGGCAATGCAAGAAAAAGCAGACACAACTCTAAAGGAACTAAAGAAGACATAAAAACCAACCAAGGCAAGATGAACATGGAAGTGATGAAAGAAATGATAAATGCTAACCAAGCCAAGACAGGTGTAAAGCTAAAGGAAATGAGAGAAGAGATGAAATATGGCCAAGCAGAAATGAGATCCATAATTAATGCCTGGATAGCGGACATGAAGAAGGATTGAAAGGAGACCATGTCCTGTCAAGTAATGACGGCGGTGTGTTTGGACAGTAAGGAGCTGAATCCGGAAGAAATGAAATCCGAAGTGGAACATAAAGAGGTCCCTACGGAAGAGGCCACAGTGAAATCTTCGGAAACAATGAAGAAGCAGCACAGGAGCAAGCGTCAGCTGCAGGGTGACGCAGAGAGCTGAAGGAACTGACCCGAGGAGATTTTAGATCCTGGAGGAAGTTAGCTGCTGCCTGCAGGAATGTGTCCTATAATGCAACAGTGGCACAGTGCAAGAGAAACATCTTAAGGAAACTTTGGACCCAGGGAAATTGTGGACTGCAGAAAGAATTGGCTGCAGGTGGCCAGAAGATCTCCCGCTGTGCAAAAGTGGCACAGCGCAGGGGACACAGTCGCAAGAGATACAACCAGGATGATGTGATGCAAGAAACCCGGAAAGGACAGATGTTCGGGAAGAGACGTTGGAAGGACGTGGAATAAAACAATAGAATAAGGGACTGAGGCCTAAAACAGCAGCTACGAGGCAGCAAGCAACTAAAGAACCCAGGCAGAAGACAGCAGCTGTGTGTTAAGATCGAGAGAACATCAGAGGAGTTTGACAGGAGGGCTTTAGGACTAGAGTTCATGAAGCGAGCAACCAGAATGTCCAGCGAATTGCAGCAAATCAGGAACTGGAGAGTATGGAGGGGTCAGCCCCCTCCAAAACAGAAGAAAAAGTTACTAGCAGCATTAGCATAAGAAGAGCCGGAAAGGTGGGAGCACCGGCCACTCAGGATAGTTTTTCCCCACCATTGGGAAAAATAAAAGAGAAAATGAAGGAAAACCTTTGGATGATGGTAATGGTGATAACCTAGACTAACTGGAACCTTATAAGGGAACTGCTCAGGATGAGCTGACCTTAAGGAGGGAGCAATGGTAGTGCTTTGAGAATGAACACCATGGAAGAAAAAACAAGCAATGGGAAGGAAGATGAGATGTCACAAAGTGAAATCTCAGAAAGAAGGAATGGTGATACACTGTTAGACTACTTGGGACGAGCAGCCTTAAGGAGGGAGCAGTGTAACGGATTTTATTGACGTGTTGCTGGGCAACAGCTTTGTAAACTCAGTCCAACACGCAACACTAGAGGAAGCTTTCTTTTATGTAGATGTAACCAACATGCCAATAGACAGGGTGGATAGCAATCACATGATATGTGTTTGCTATAGGGCCATGTATGTTATGCGGCTATATAAATAAGGGTGACAGAATTCATTCAGAGCAGTTACAAGTAGTAGAGGCGGCAGAAGCACGCGAGCAAGCAAACAAGCAAGCAGTTAGCTTGAGGAGTACAGAAGAGTACAAGAAATCAGCCTATGAAGATTTAAGGTGCGCTTTGAAGACTTCACGTGTGCTGTAGTTCAGTGATATTGGGAATGTGTGATTTAATGAGACTTATAATTCCTGTGTTATAAATCCGTGAAGACTACTGGAGATAGACTGAAGAGAGTAACATGGAGTGCTTTGTAGTGTGAAAGTCAGTAACAGTGTTATAGTTATTTGTAATTACAACCTGTAAGTGATCAGTAAATCCAGTTACCAATATGAACCCCATCTTTAGTCACTGATACATGTGACAGTACCATATGTGTTCGATCAGTAATGTTAATAAGAGAATATTAAATTGAATGTGTGTTAGATAAGCAATGTTCCCTTGAATACTGTCACCTTTTGCAAGTCATTTTTCTCCCTATGAATTTAGGTTTTGGAAGTGCAAATATACAAAGTCAGGAGAAAGGAAGAAAACTTATGAATGGTGTGAATGGGAGATGATTAGGAAGGATCCAGAGTCCGCCATTGATATTTCAGGTTAGTAAAATCATTTTCATCCATTGTATGTGCGTATGTGAACAGTTTTGAAATTCATGTATTCACAGTTTTTCAGTTGCTTTATTAAAAGATGTTGAAGAAGTTGTTGCTATAATGCTTGTCTTTCAGAGGTTATGATGCATAATTTGACTTGTAGGTCAGCCCCTCAACATCAGTGCTGCGTATAGTGGGCGGATAGCGTGTGCATATAAGTATGGAAAATCATTCACCAGGCCCTCCAAGAATGACCCAGACTCAAGATATGTCAACTTATGTGTTGCGATCTATGAATGCGAGAGCACTGGAGGTAAGAAGTGCCGTAATTCAAGAATGAGGAAATTACATTTTGCTTTCAGTGGGAGAATTACTCAGTAATTCCATATTTCATTTCATAATTCATGACATTGCATTGGTTTTGCACCCTGGTTTTGTTTTGCAAAATAAAAAGAGCACTATGTGTTTTATTAAGACCATTCTTATGCATGAAACATTATATCAAGGAAATTTTTTCACAAACTTTAGATAAAGATTTCATTTGGTATAAAAGCTGAATATGAATAGCCATTGATGAAATATATTTTGCAGTGTTTGCTGAGAACCATTCTCTGTTGTATGCTGTACCTCACATGATCTGTGATATGAAATGTTATAATTCTGTGACACTAGAAATTACGTATAGCTGTTGCTATCCATGTTACTCATGTTATTTCATTGCAGCATAATGCATGTAATGGGATAGGTGGGCGGGAATGATCAGTAATGATTGCTATGGTATGACTTGCAGGAAGTGGATTTAAGAAGGGAATTTTTATTGTGACTGGGTTAGATACCAATCAGATTTATTATAAAAGGGATGTCACAGGTTTGGTTGCATATATGGAATTTAAATTAACCCAAAGAAAATAATGTTGATAGCAAAGGAACGGAGAGTCTGTGAATGTGTGCAAACAGCAAGGGGAATATGGAAATTAAGTGAATATGGACATAATTGAAGTGAATGTTCTAGGCTAACTAGAGTCCTTGCATGTTTCTTTAGGATCAGAATGGGTTCTGGAAGATACAATCCATCTGAAAAACATTCACTTACCTCGGATTCAAGTGGATCCACACCTAGATCTAAGCTACTTGTATGACAGCCGGTTCCTACAAAAGAAGCACCGTCTCAATCACATTATGCAGACATTCTCATCAGAAGATGTCCGTAGTCCACTGAAGAACGGAGACCAAAATGACCACCACACAAATCTGCATAAGACATCTGGTGGTATGAATTTGTAGTAAATACATATGCTTTCCATAGGTATAGTAGCAGGGTATGGACAGTACTTAGAGTACAGTATGTCACATTCAGAAAATACACAGAAATATGGTACTGTTACAGATACACTGAACATTGCAGTAGTACTCTATCTTGCAGTAAGGAAATCTTGGCTATGAGACCAGCTATACTGAATTACTTTTTTAGCCTGCTTTTCATGTGTTTAAAAAATAAAAAGGAGGCTTATGATATCACCTTGCTGTTTGTGTATCAGTTAAACTCCCCCACCCTCAATGCCAGAAACGTGGAATAGTGGAGCCAGAAGAGATCTGTATGTGTGTCTGTCTGTGTATTCTCTCTGTCATTGCTTGGTAAACACATTCCTGCAGCAGCAAATACACAACCAACAACAGAAAAATTGTTGGACATGTGATCTTCTATGTGGTCAATGCCATATGATACAAAAATAGGCAATTTGTTTTTCCCAGAACTTCTTGTTTTTATTGATTTTGTTATATAGCCAGATGGTATCTTATATTATCTTAAATTTGCCCCAGCCTGAGTTTTTGCAATTTATTTTTCACAAATCATCCTGCCTTTTGATGATATAATGTGAGCTATTGAAAGCATTGTTAAATAAATCAAGAATAAACAAGTAGTTAACAGAAACTTGTTCCAAGAGCAAGATACATACACAATTATATACGTACATAATTTCAGTAATTCCTTTGGAATTATACACCATTATTTTCTGCAGGCAAGCCTGCGCAGTGTTCATTTGAACGTAAGGTTTTTATCCACATAAAATGAATACTGTATTTGAAAGTCAGGAGTATTGTAAGAAGAAAAAATTCTTGAAAATTTATGATGTGTGAATTTTTGAAGTAGGTGAGTGGGTTGTTTCACAATGAGAAAGTGTTGTTCTCATTCTTTTTTAAATTTTTTTTAGATATGAATGTGACTTTTAAAAATGCAAGTGTCATGTATATTTACAAGATAAAATTAATTGAACATAATAATACAAAATGTACAGTAACCTGATCATTTGAAAAATAAATTCTGTGAACGAATGTAGAAAAGAAATAGATCAGCATTCTTCATGTTAGTTATTTCTTCTGAGAAACATGATCCAGATATTTCATGTAACTGCCATCTTTTTTTTCCCCCCTAGGTTTATTGGCTGTTCCTAGTTTTAGTACACTGCAGTCACTTCGTAAATCCATCATTGAATGCGGAAACACTTGTCCACTGACTCAGAAACATCTTGTTCAACTTGACTGGGTATCCAAAGAAGATGGTTCTCATATTCTTACTGTAGGAGTTGGTAGCAAGGTAACGAATAGGTCACTAAATCCTCTAGAATTTGTTTGTATAAGGACAGTAACAGTCATTTCTGTAGAGTAACAAGATCTGTGTCAGGGTGCACACAGTTTCCATGTGTTTGCACCTTTGCATTCTGAATGCTCATAACCAAACAACAGTGATGAAAACATTAACATATTTAGTTACTATTATTGCTTTGGTTGTTTTTGCATGCCCTTGATTGCTGCATTTTTAGATGTAGCTCTAGGGTTTCTTTCACCTTACAAATTTATTTGTGTGCCATGTTGTCATTGCTGATTGTAAGAAGTTAAAAAGCACAAGTTTAGTTGACCTTCAATCCATTATCAGATTGTATCAAAATCACTGTAACATTTTTAGACTTGAACATACAGGCTGACAGACATGAGCTACTCTGTATGTGTTCTTTCTACACACTTCATGCAAAGAACACATGCTGTTTTCAAAATTGGTCACACATTAATTTAACCTATTGAGGTTGAGGTTTTTGGGTATACAGAAATATAATCGAGCTGGGATTATTTATAGAAGAATCAACACTTGATGCATAAAGTATTATGCTTCCACTAAGATGCACCGTGGGTATTAGTATTACTGAAGGGTGCTACTGAAGAATTATAAGATAAAGCCAAAAGCTGGACATTGCCACCTCTGTGGAAACATTGGAATTACACATTAAATGATAAGACAGAATAGTTCCGTAAACCAATCTGTTGTCCATCCAAACATTATGCAGAGCTGTAAGTTGAAGTCAGTGGGTTAATTCAGTATGTCCATACATATGAGTATGCCAAGGGTTTTCAAAAAATAAAATGTGATTTTAGTTTAAATTTAAATGGTACAGTTATGTTTTATAGGAATCAGCTTTAGACTAAATGATGTGTTGTTGCCTCATATGGTCGGCTGTTTTATGTTACTGCTTTTAAGGTTCATATAATCTTTTGCAGATATGTAAGAATGCTTCATATCACTGTTTCTTTGTTTACCTGCAAAGCCTGAAATACATATAATGCTTCCTATGGTAGATAAACTTGGGAGCTTTCCTTTTCCTTGGTTTTTCTCCCATGAAAATAGAAGTTGAATTTTTCCAGAAAATGAGATTTGAGAGGCTACCGCTAAGAGTAACTTCTGTGGCATGCTAACAATCAAGAGACAGTGCCACGGTTAGCAGTAAGTAGGTGGTTGTAAAGCTTCCAGCTAGTACATGGTGTGTTCATTAGATTTTGTTGGCTAAACTGGTGAACAGTATATGTACAAGTGAGCTTGGCTAAGTAGGTTTAAATCATCTGTATCAGCTGGTTTATACCAGCTTCTGCTACTGTTATAGCCCTTCCATATCAGGATGGTAGTCATATGGAGCTATTTTTAAGCCATTTTGTAAATGAAAGTAAAGTACAGTGGAACCTCACTTTATGAGCATAATTCGTTCCAGAATCTTACTCGTAACGTGAAACACTCGTTAAGCGAAACAGTTTTTCCCATATAAATTAATGTAAAATACGATAATGTGTTCCATGCCAAAAAATTTTATGTATAACGTTTATTCAAAGGAAATTATATATACATGGTTAAGGAGTGTGAATCATCATCTTTTCTTCTATGCGGAATGAATCAACCTGGAATGCGAGTTCGATTTGCAGGGGGGGGGAATCGAAATAATTAATTTATTATTTATGATACATATCTAATTCTTTTTTACTAGAAAGCTGTCTAGAGACATTTGTTTTTACCAATGCTTCAAAATTTGGTGAAAATGTGACACAGCATTATCATTAAATAAATTTGTAGCCCACATAGCCACTGCCTTATTACTTGTAGGGTGATGCTTCTTAATGTATGATGCAACAGTTTCCCATGCTTTCAGCATTTCTCTTATTGCGCCAGATGATTGTTGCTTTGCTGTTACCTCCTCCTCCTCCTCTGACAAACTCTCCTCCACAACTTCTTGCTGTGAAACAATGCAGCTCCAAATTGTGCAAATCGTTGATGTAGACCGATTGTATGTGCATGCTAGATCAGCCACGCTCACACCTCGTTCTCACTTTTCAATGATTTTACGTTCCATTTCTACGGTTATTTTTATTCTCTTATGGCTATCTTTTTGCGGCTTTTTCTTCGGGGACATTTTTGCAAGGGTTATTAAACTTTGCAAAAAAAAATCATAAATAATATGTCTGAACACAAGTTTGGAAAAATGTGTGATCACAAGCGACACTAAGATGGTAGCAGAATGAGTGCTAAACACAGACTGATGTAGCAAGTGCACAATCTGGGACTTCCCCTCTCGTCACTCGTTATGCAAAATGTCGCTTGTTAAGTGAGTTTTTTTTTACAATTTGTTTTGCTCGTTATGCAAATTACTCATTATGAGAGGTGCTCATTAAGCGAGGTTCCACTGTATAATGTTGTGGTGTTTTTAATTTTTATTTTCCCAGCCCCAGTTTTGTGTGATAGAGTGTAAAATGGCAGAATTAAATGTAGTAATATTTATACAGATGTATGCATTTTGATTATGATCATTTGGGTGACAGTAAACACTGAGCCCCTAAAAGAAAAAGGTAATATTCCTACCTGCTGTTCCAAATGACCTGGATCAGGCTTGATTTTTGTACTCCTGTGGATCTGTGTGCCCACCTTCTTTGCAAATTACTTATATGAACTGAGTCAGTTTGTCATTCTGTATGCTTCAGCACTTCAGATGACACCTGCATGTTCCTCTGAAATGTTGGTATCCGCCTACAATATGCACAGTGTCACAACACTGAAGACCACAAACTGAACAGTTGCTGCCATGAAAACCTGGAAAGATATATTAATGTAATTAACGCAGTTATACATTGAACCTCTTCCTCATAAGTTACATTTTGAATGAGTTTACAGGTGATGCTGTTCACGCCGGTATCAAGTGATCTAGCACAGGCAAATATGAAAGCCATGAAGGAATCCCAGTCTGCAAATCGTCCCATCCTCAGGAAAGCCTCTTCCTTAGCAGCCCCGCAGTTTGTGGATGAAATCAGGTAGTACTCATATCCTTATGAAGTTCACATAGTGGGAGAGTTCTGGTACCATTTTATTGCCTGTATCTCTTTGGATGTTGCAGATGGATGAAATTACGTAAAATAGACTTGGTCACAGCAGATGGTCTGCCTCCACTGCCTATGCAGATCTCATGGGTTCGTGATGGAATACTTGTTGTTGGGATGGACAGTGAAATGCATGTATATTCACAGTGGAAGCCAAACTGTAAGTGACTGCAATTAATTGCTGTATGTTCAATATAATCTGTTCATTTCAGAGACTTTTGCATATAACATACTTCATTGCATAGTGTGCAGCACTTATTTAGTTTATGTACTCATGACATTTTTTCTTCAGTAGTTATATTTCCAGTGTAATTAGGGAGGATGTGATGATTTTTCTGTAATATTGTGTTTGAAAATACATGGTGAAGTAATATACGATGGGGTACCCAAAAGAAACCGAACTAATTTTTTTGTGGACAGAGCTTTTGTAGTACCGCATTTTGCCGCTATGAGCGCATAGAGCTAACATTCCTGAGTCGATAAGCCGACTACCGTTGCTTCAGAAGGTAAGGACTAGTTTCAGCAGAGATTATAGTGACAACTGTTTTGTGTGATCGTCGTTTTTGCAATGGCTGATTTTCGTGAACAGTGTGCGGCGGTGAAATTCTGCTTTTTGCTTGGGAAAAGTGGAACAGAAACTCTTGAAATGTTAAAAACAGCATACAAAGATGATGCTATGGGGAAAACTCAAGTGTTTGAGTGGTTTTCCCGTTTCAGAAATGGTGAAATGTCAATTGATGACAAACCTCGTTCTGGTCGTCCTTCCACGGCCCGAACACATGAAAATGTTGAAAAAATTCGTGAAATCATCAAGGAAGATCGACGACGGACCATTGAGGAAATTGTGGAGCTGTCGGGAGTGACTTGGAGCTCAGTTCAGCGAATTTTGACAGAAGATTTGGGAATGAAAAGGGTGGCTGCGAAATTCGTGCCACGACTGCTGACTACTGAACAAAAACAAGGCCGCGTGGAAGCA